TATATTCTTTCATCAAGTAATGAGGGTATGGAAAATAGTTAGACATTTTCCCTAAAATATTCTTATTTATTTTTAGTTCAAGCCTCCATAAAGTGGAGAGGGAAATGATTAGTTTCATTAATAAGAAAATACAAACATTTGATTAGTGTTTTTTTAAGCCATTTCCCTACAAATTGCACTCATTTGTGTTAGTGTGATGCACACATTTGTGAAGTGTATAAGCACCTGTGAAGTGCTATAATTGTTTTCTGTTAATAGATCCTTCAGAACTAACATCGGTGCTCTGCAATCCCAGAATATCTGAAGCTTCCATCTGGATGAAGAACTCACATTCTAGTCAATCACATTGCTTCCCCCCATAACTATCATACTGAATCTTTTTGTTAGATCAGATAGATTTCCCATCTCCAAATTCCTTCAACTTTCTTCCTATATCCAGGAACAATGGTGGTCATGGATTCCTAAATTTTCAAGTACACATACAGTTCTTAGGCAAAGAGTAGTTTTAATTTATAGATCTATTATAATAAATTGATCAGGAACACTGTGAAAATTATGGCCTCATCTTCAGGTGTAGAGAACCACATATGTGGATGTCTAGTATTAGATCAGCAAAGTGGGGATTAGGAACAAACTGGGTAAGTGGTTGATATTACTGCTGTAAGCACTTGCCTCATCTGTACTGACCGAAAGGCCACACGTTCTGAGAAGGCAAACACTAGACTCAGAATGCTTGCATTTTCTTAAAATATGATTACGATAGGTTTTTTAATTTGCCTGAGCCCCACTTTCTTATAATTGGGATTTATTTTTTTACAAATGTAAAATCTGTGCCAGTGTTCAGTAAGCATCAGTTCCTTAGTTTCCTTTCCTTCCCAGTTCCAGATGTAAGTACCAGAATATGAGAACAAAATTGCTATATCTGTATAATTTTGACAACATCAATATATTAAAAAACTGCAATTTGACTTCACTGTCAGGAAATGTTAATATCTATCATATAGAAAGATGTTAGTTTTTAATTCAGTTATTAAGAACTATAATATATAAGACATTGACAATGGATAGGCAAATACAAATGAATCAATACTATATATTTCCAAAGGGATTGCAGATTTTCTCACTTTGGAAAAAACATGTATACTTATGGCATTTTGTTTCTAATTACAGAATATTTTAATCATTGTAACTGTCACTAGCCAGATTTGCTAAAGGTAAAATAGACTAGGAAAGCACTTTAAGCTCTTTTGAAGTAAATTTGTATGGAAAGAGCAAATGCAATAATTAATAGAGTTGTGCTAACTGCAGACATAAAAGTAACATTTGTTTCTCTACTGCAAATATGCTCCTTTTGCACTCTTTCTCAACCATGGCGCGGTTCTCAGGTGGAGGGACAACATACTTGCTTTACTGAGAGCAGTGTGGCTTCATCACAACTACTGTGAGAATATAATCAATCTGGATATGAACAGAGTCTTCCATTCTGGTCAATTTAGATTCAGTTTCATGTCATTTTTACACCAGCCTGTATTCTTGATGAACACTTCCTTATAGGATTCATGGGTGTTTCAAATTCAAGATGAGATTTAATAGGTCTACATTTTGATATTACAAATAACTTCTATTAATGATAGATATGCTCATTTGAAGAAGCTTTCTCTAGATTTTGTCAAACTATTCTTGAGGACATTAGATTTTCTCTAATATTACTTACATAAATAATATATAAATTCTACCATGTATGTGCATTGTAAACCAAGCATTTAAAATATATATTGAAGAATTCCAATTATAGATTAAAAATAAAATAAATTATATTTGTAAATAGGACTCTGCTAATAGTATTTTTTATTTCTTTCTTAATACAAAAGGAAAGTTACTAAGTATAGCAATAATTTCTAATCGCTGCATGGGTGATTAAAGTGAAACATAAATAAAAATGGGCTTTCCTGGTGGCTTAGACAGTAAAGAATCTGTCTTCAATGTGGGAGACCAGGGTTTGTTTCCTGGGTGGGGAAGATCCCCTGGAGAAGGGCATGGCAACCCACTCCAGTATTCTCACCTGGAGAATCCCATGGATAGAGCCTGGTGGGCTATGGTTCATGGGGTGGCAAAGAGTCAGACACGACTGAGAGATTAAGCACAGCACATATGAACCAAAATGTGGAGTGTTTGAGACTTCACAACAAATTACTGAATTGAGCTGGGAATGTTTTTTAGGCTGTAGATGAAGTAGCAACACTCTGAAAGCCCTGCCTATTCACTGCAACAATTCTGGAAACTGTGGTTTAATAATGACACACTCTGGTCATTCTCTTGCAGAGAATCAAATAAGCACCGCCTTTTAGAGCAATATGACTACTGCAGTACTGCTAACACTTTCCAAACTTAACCATCTGTGCCTCTAAACTTGTCCTGTTTACAGTGTCACTTGAAAAGATCCAATAATTTTTTTCCTATACATTTGTCTTGACTGTGAATAAAGACTTTCATCCTTAGTGGATAGTGTTTGAAAGACTACATCTGAAGAATAAACGATTTGAAATCAGAGGTTTTGTAGACATGGTTTCTTGAAAATGTAAGGAATAAGATAAAACTGTTACTGTACTTTACATATGAAGAGATATCTAGAAGAAATTATTTACTTGAACTTGTGTAAATGCACCATACTCAGTGGAGAAATAAGATAAAGCTATTTATTCTTTGAAAATTAAAAGGGGACGCTTTCTCCCTTTAACAACTTCATTTCCATTTGGATAGTATAACATTATATTTCTCATCTTCCTTCAGGTAGCTATTTTATGCCTTTCTTCAAAGATGCATGTGAGTTTGCCTTTTCCTAAAGCAACTGCTGCAGAAATCACACATTTTTCCAGAAATTATCTCATAAAATTACTGCTCTATCTTTTCAGTATTTAATTGAGGCCCTGAAATTAGATTGGGCTTTTACAAACACTCATTAGTGGGTCTAATTCTTTTTATAGGAGTAGCCTTCACAGAAGAAGATAGAATTGGCATAGTGTACACATTTAAATTCTAAAAGGAATTATTCCTATTCTTTTGAGAGAATAAAAAATCATTTCCTCTTCTTCCTTAGTTTTAATTCATTTCCTCTTTTGGTTTATGAAGGGGGCACAATTAGGTAAGATGTCATGGGAGAGAGGCCATGGAGACAAAGAAAGGACAGTCTCATTAACTGAAATTTTATTTCTTGTTCATTAATTATCTGGATGCTGTGCTACCTGATTTGAGAAAAATAACTTCTGAAAATGTTGGGATTTCTTTGTAACATATTATTAACAAAGTTTAAATTTTAATTGGATTTTTGGTTACATGACCTTTGTTACTCCTGGCAAAGATGCCACACACTATAACTAGATAATCCCATGGGAATCAGAAGGATTCCAAATGTCGATATGACAATGAAAATGGTATAGCCCATGTTTCTGATTTTCAAAATCAAAAAAGCAAGAGAAACCAGGCACAGTATATATAGTCAGAGAGACAACGAAAATGAGTCTCCTATTTTCCAACCCACCACCTATGCATATTTAAAGAAGTAATATAAGAAAAAATACTGATTTTCTTGTGCTTAAATGAGGTAATATGATGAAGAATCATAGGATCTACTGCTATATATCTGAATTAAACTCTGATTAGATGTTCTTGGAAGTAAGGGAAAGCTTATCTAATATAAGTTACATAAAAAATCATGTCCCAATTCTGCAAAAAAAAAGGGTTTCATATAATCCCTGATGTCTGAATGTACTCTCAGAAAACATTTAGCTCTTGTGTGTGGGCTAAGTTGCTTCAGTCGTGTCCGACTCTTTGTGACGCTATATCTGCAGTCCTCCAGGCTCCTCTGTCCACAGGATTCATACTGGAGTGGGTTGTCCTGCCCTCTGCCAGCGGATATTACTGACCCAGGGATGGTACCCCAGTCTCCTGCATTGGCAGGCAAATTCTTTACCACTAGTGCCACCTGGGAAGCCCCACTACCCTCAACTTGCAATGAGGAGGCACTGAACAAGAATGTGATACCAGGTAGAGAGAAGCATCATTTGTACCTTCTCAGGAGAGAGGAAATATGATCATAACAGGATGAATAGTTTGAGGACTTTACTTTTTTCCTAAAAATGTCAATTTTGTCTTATCTTATTTAAAGAAGTCAGCTATCTCTCTATTTAATTTCCTCAGGATAACTGTAGGACAGATCAAAAATTAAAGGAAGCAAGTCTTCTTGATTTTTGCTTTCCAAATGTTTAAGCTCTTGGGGGGATTTATTAAGCTGGAAAAATAAGTAAAAATAAAAGAGTGTGCATGCAGACATCAAAATAGTCAGTTCTCAGCCTTTCCTGTAACTGAGAACTTATTCTTGGTTGAAGAGAGACAAGCTGATAAGAAAGAAAAAATGTTCTCAATGGCAATGCACATCAGGGCAGAGCATCTGACCTTATTTTTTGACCTGAGGATTAGAAACTCTAGGCTATACAATAATATGTTTAGCATATATTTTAACAAGAATGCTGCAGACGGATAAGTCTGTTGTTATGTTGATAAATACACTCAGTATAGCCTCCCATTTCATCAGAGTAAATTCTGTCCCAGAGAAGCCTTGGCTCTGAAGACTTCCTCTGATTAATCTATATGATCTATTGGTTTCTTCATTTCAAAATTAGAAAACTAAATCTGCAAGCCATAAACTATTTCCCACAGCACTGAACATATTCTAGCAAATTATAACTATATAGCTTATAATTATTCCTTTGTATACAAGCCTGCCTCCATCAAAACGTTTACATTGCCTCAGCGTTTCTCAAATCAAAGCTGCTATCAAATCATGTATTATTATAGCATATGGATTTATATGTATTGACTTTGTATATATCTATATTTGGAATTGTGCACACAAACATGAATACACACCTATTTTACATGTGTAAATTAGGTATAACTGGGTAATCAAGCCACTAAATGCATTCTATTTCCTTTTAAAATAGGAGGCAGTGTGAGGTCAAATCTACAGCTGGAGATACTCACTTGGGTGGAGAAGACTTTGACAACCGCATGGTCAACCATTTTATTGCAGAGTTCAAGCGCAAACACAAGAAGGATATCAGTGAGAACAAGAGGGCTGTGCGTCGTCTCCGTACTGCTTGTGAGCGTGCTAAGCGCACTCTCTCTTCCAGCACCCAGGCCAGTATTGAGATTGATTCCCTCTATGAAGGAATCGACTTCTATACCTCTATTACCCGTGCCCGATTTGAGGAATTGAATGCGGATCTGTTCCGTGGCACCCTGGACCCTGTGGAGAAGGCCCTTCGGGATGCCAAGCTGGACAAGTCTCAGATCCATGATATCGTCTTGGTGGGTGGCTCAACCCGCATCCCCAAGATTCAGAAACTTCTCCAGGACTTCTTCAACGGGAAAGAACTGAATAAGAGCATCAACCCTGATGAGGCTGTTGCCTATGGTGCAGGTAATCTCTTTAAACAGCAGTTAGGAGGCCCAAGCTAAATTTCGCTGTGATGAATGATTTTTAAACATTCGTAGTTTCCACCAAAAGCTTTAGCTGGTGATGGCAAAACTTCCTTGGATGTCTGAGCGATTGAGAATTGTTAGTAAGATAATGAGTTCAACTGTGGTTTTCCTTAAAAAATAATTTCCTTTTTATAATATAGCTGTTCAGGCAGCCATTTTGTCTGGAGACAAATCTGAAAATGTTCAAGACTTGCTGCTGTTGGATGTCACTCCTCTTTCCCTTGGAATTGAAACTGCTGGTGGAGTCATGACTGTCCTCATCAAGCGCAATACCACCATTCCTACCAAGCAGACGCAGACTTTCACCACCTACTCTGACAACCAGCCTGGTGTGCTCATTCAGGTAAGATGGCTCAGTTTGGCTTACTTGAGCTGCTATAAAATTGGGCAGGATTTGTTCTGCTGTGATGATGGATTCCAAAACCATTCGTAGTTTCCACCAGAAATCCTGTGTTGGCCAACTCCTTCCTTGGATGTCTGAGCGATCAGTCTTGCCTAATCCAGCTTATCGAAATTTAAGCTAACAGAGAAACCGAGTTTTCTTCTGTAACATAAAATGTAATTTCTATAGGTTTATGAAGGTGAGCGTGCCATGACCAAGGATAACAACCTGCTTGGCAAGTTTGAACTCACAGGCATACCTCCTGCCCCACGTGGTGTTCCTCAGATTGAAGTCACTTTTGATATTGATGCCAATGGCATTCTCAATGTCTCTGCTGTGGATAAGAGCACAGGAAAAGAGAACAAGATTACCATCACTAATGACAAGGGCCGCTTGAGCAAGGAAGATATTGAACGCATGGTTCAAGAAGCAGAGAAGTACAAAGCTGAAGATGAGAAGCAGCGGGATAAGGTGTCTTCAAAGAATTCGCTTGAATCCTANGTCATACATTGAAATGAATTAGCCATGGATTTACATGTATTCCCCATCCCGGTCCCCCCTCCCACCTCCCTCTCCACCCGATCCCTCTGGGTCTTCCCAGTGCTGTTTTAAAATTAAACCATCAGACATACACTTGCCCAGGATTTTTACCACCTAATTTTGATAATACCTAGTATATCTTTAAATCAATATTCAAAGTATTTGTATATTACCTGAATTCCCAAACACTGTTGAGAATTGAGCTTACTTCAGCTGTGCCATTTGTTAAGTATCTCAGTGACAAAGCCTGTGATTCATGTGATGGGAAGATGAGAAGTAAAGATGGTCTGCTGAGTCATAAAGTAAATTATAAATGGTCAGCAAATTCAAGGCTTCAGAGCTTTTGAAAATAATTTCAAAGGGCCAAAATTTGGAAATCCAGTGAGACAAAGAGGTAGGAAACTTGGGTTCTAGTGAAAAATGTCTGACAGATTTGTTAGGGTAAGGCCAGAGGAGTTTTTTGGAGCAGGTTATGATATTCTTTCAAAAAATTCTTGTTGGCTCTCATATTTTGTGTGTAAGTGTTTTGAGTTTACAGAAACAGAGTTTGAGGAGATATGTATATGGTAGCTCAATATTTTTCAATCATGTATCAGGAAGTCAGTGTTTTTACTGTCTTAAAACTAAATTGCAAGCATTTAAATTAACTTAGAGGTTATGCATTCTATTAAAGAAGATATGATTAGCTTAGAAATAAGTGCAAAAACTTTGCTTTGCCCAAAGTTATTAAAATACAAAATCTGTGTATATGTATATATACATGTGTATATATGTGTGTATATAAGTGTATATATATATATACAAACTTGGTATAGTATTTATTCACATAGTGATTCCACAGTCATGAATAGCAAGGATTTCTTGAAGTAAAGGTGGGACTTGCTTATCTCACTTCCAATCACAGAAGAACTGTTTTAGCACTATATTACTGAGTATGCTATTTGCTATTATTTTTTTATAAATGTCCTTCATCTGACAGGACACATTTCAAGATAATAAAAATTACTATAAATAATAATAAATAGCATCATATTGGCACAATAATATGCAAATAGAATTCATGAAAATATTGATAGATAATTTATCAATACAGACTAGTGGAGAAAACATGATCTTTTCGATAAGGAGTGCTGGGTCAACTGAATAGTCCTAAAGAGGAATAAATAAATAAATAAATCTTCACCCAATAACTATATTGCATAAAATATTAATTAGTTGGCTTGTAGATTTAAATGTAAAATGTAAAACAGTAAAACAAAGCATCAAGAAGTTAACACAAGAGAATGTCATCATGGGCCACTATATAAGCAAGGATTTCTTTATATGACACAAGACCTAACAATAATAAAAAAGATTTATAAATTCAGTACCTTAAGAATTACAAAATTTTGTTTATTAAATGCACCATTAAAAAGTGAAAAAACAAACATCAAGAAAGAGAATTTATTTCAATATTTATACTAATTTTTTGTTTCCAGAATATTCAAGAACTCAAATGCATAATTAAGTAAAAGAGAGCTTAGGAAAAAAGAGCAAGAAGTATGAGAGAACATTCTATAAGAACACACCAATATTCACTAACTGTATGAAAAACTCTTCAATTTCATTAGTGATCAGGGACATGCATATTAAATGCAAGTGAATACTAATATAAACCCCCCAAAATGTCAAAATTGAAACAAAACAAAATAAATTGGAAGATACCATCAAGTGTTGGCAAATATGTGGCAACAGTAACTCTCTTACACAGATAAAGAAAATATAAATGCACAACTTATTCAACTATTACTGAAAACTTTTGGATCCAATCCACTTCAGTTGAAAATATATAAACCTTACAACTTAACAATCCTGCCCTTAGGTAGAGAACACATTTGCAAATATGGACAGGCACAAGAAGGTTGACAGCAACATCATAAAGAAACCAATAAGGAAATATTGGTGAAAATCCAATTTTAAATATTAGTGAAATGATAAATTCATTCATTATAATATTAAAACACAATTAAATGAAAAATGACTTCTACACTTAACAACAGAGATAAATTTCATAAACATGATGTTACATGAAAGCCAGATATATCTATATTTATATCTATATATATATGTATATGTATATTCTGTGGTTTATATATAATTACATAAAAGTACTACACTGAGTATATATGTATACATGAATGCATATGCGCTTCCCAGGTGGTTCAGATGGTAGAGAATCTGCCATCTCTGGTAGAGAATGCGGGAGACCCAGTTTTGATCCCTGGGCTGGAAAGATCCTTTGGGAAAGGTAATGGCAACCCACGCCAGTATTCTTGCCTGACAGAGGAGCCTGGTGGGCTACAGTCCATGGAATCACAGAGAGGTGGACACGGCTGAGTGACTAACACACACATTATGTAATATACAAATATGCATGCATAGTATGTGTAAAGTAATGCTAAGTCAAGATGATTACCTATGGAAGAAGGAAAGAAATGATTTGCAATTGAGAAGGGGCAAGATGGCAAATTTATGGGCTTTTGAATTATTAATAGCTTATTTCTAGAACTGAGTGATGCTCAGTTTGTGGTAACATTGTGTAGTACATTTATTCTTTTGTCCTTTTCACCTCAAGTGAGACATCTTCAGTCATTTTACAAAAAATAATAATGCTAAAGGGACAGTCAAAGGGGCCTGGGAGGCAGAAAGTCAATTTTTTTGTGACATTTAAATTACTGCAGAAATGGTGTGGTTCACATCTGACTGACATTTCAGAGATAAAGTATATCTACTGTAGAAGATTCAGTAATATTTATAAATTTGACTATAACTATAATGAGTTCCAGGCCTTCCCGGGTGGCTCAGCTGGTAAAGGATCCGCCTGCAATGCAGGAGACCTGGGTTCGATTCCTGGGTTGGGAAGATTCCCTGGAGAAGGGAAAGGCTACCCACTTCAGTATCCTGGCCTGGAGAATTCCATGAACTGTATAGTCCATGGGGTCGCAAAGAGTCAGACACGAATGAGTGCCTTTCACCTTCATAATGAGTTCCTATGGCTGCTGCTTAAAACATAATTTTGAATTAACGACTGCTGCTACTACTACCATCATTATGAAAATTTAACTCTGACTACATCTAGCTGATATTTATTCAGAATTAATTCTTTCTCTCCTGTGTACCCTGAACTGGACTTGTTTAAGTGCTTTATGAGTATAAATTATTTTAAATTTTACTTCAATATTTTAATTGTCACAAAAGATTAATGAAGCAGCTACATTTAGTCTTCTATTTTAGAGATGAAGGAGCTAAAAACCAGAGAAATACCTAAAACTAATATATTCCACAAATGTATCATTATAAATAATTCACATTGAAAGTGGAGTTTTAAAAATATATACTGTTCTTCAGAGCCTAGAATATTAAGTACTAAATCATTTGAATAAAGAAACAAGCAACTCTTGCCATATATCTGTTAGGCAAGAGTTTATGTACTCTTGTATATATTGTGATGTACAAGCCTTCTTAACCTCAAAAGAAAAGTGAACTCTTAGGTAATGAATTTTCTAGTTAGAGCCACATTGCTTTTTCTTACTTGAATATGACATGAATAAAACTTGGAGTATGTTTTCTATCTATTTTTATTACTATACACTAAATTAATTTTTCATTTTAAATATATAAGTTTTGATAGGAAAATACCTATATTGAAAAAGATTTTCCTATAAGGTAGAAGAATCTGTCTCCTATTACTTTACCTTCTGGAACTTGTCCATTGTCTATTCTTGTTTTTTGTTGTTACTTTAATTATAAAAATGATTTAACATTTTTTGGAAGAAACCTATTATATTCACCATGAAAATGTTTGAAAGAAAAGCTGCACCCATCATATTATATTTCACCTCACAGTTCTAGAAGACAGAAACAATAATTGTACTACCACCATGCTCCGCTGTAGCACAGTTCCTAAATGATTCACTTTTATGAAAAAATATTTTTAAGACTAGTGTGAAAATTTTAAAAAGAAATAAGCATGACCTTATCTTCTTCCATTAAGCCTGTAAACCAGTACAGGGCAGAGAAGTGTTCTTAAATAATGCAATTTCATTTTGAACTTGATTTTAACAGGAAAGATTATAGAAAGGAAAGTCAAAAGCATAACGTTAAGTCTCATTCCTCACTACATAGGCCAAGATACAAATATGAGGACCATGCACATCCCAAATGAAAATGCCATATCAAGGTAGTAATTCTGTCAAACATAAACACGAACCTAATAAGTACAAATACTGAAGGAACATAGTGTTTATAATCTCTTGCAATTTGTGATGTTTGGAGCTATATTGAGCCATTCCATTTGACTTTCTACAGGCAAGGAAAACTTTTCTGCAAATCTACAAGACAGACAGAAACTTGTAAGGAAACCGTCACTTGTAACCTACAGCCACAGCACAGGCATATTAAGCCTGTTTTGAACACATTGGTGCAGATCTTGACTTGAGAACATTTTTCATTATCTAGGCAGATGACACTGCAACAACTCAATTTAACACTTTGGCCATGAAAAATCTCAGTCTTTGATCACACTGTGATAAAAATAAGAAGTTCGGAGTTGACATTGTTCTGAAAAGAGAAGCTGCTATCATGTGGTGATTTGTATCCTATGTTTGAATGTTTTGTATTTCCTCCACATCAACTTTCATGCTTTCAAAACAGCAAGAGAGTAGATAACTATTATTTAAAAGAAAGAACTGTGCATTTACTAACACAAATACAAAAAAGTGACTTATCCAACTGGGCGATTATTTATGAATCTCTAATACAAATATAATATTTATATTTTAGTTTCTATCCCAAGGAACTGGAACACTCAGTGTTCACTCATCTTAGATTCTGTGAATAGTTATAACACATGAAAAAGTTTCTGGTCATCCAATTGCAATAACTAGTCTAATCCAAAGCCTCTAAATATCTTTACCAGTCATTAAGTTCAAGCC